GCCCAAGGAGGGCCCGAGATGGCTTGAAGATGGCCGAAGAGGGCTCCGAGAGGGCCTTCAAGAGGCAAACATCGGCCCACTCCCTTTGTAAAACGTGCATTTTCAGCGTACTCGCTTGCTTCGTCTTCGCATTGCCGCAGCCGCCCCCGAGGAGCCCCAAGACAGCCCAAGAGAGACCCAAGAGGGCCCAAGACGGCCCAAAAAGATCGTCCCATGGGGCTCACGGAACCCCCCAAGACGGCCCAAGGGGCCCCGAAGCCTTCCCAGGAGGCCCCCAAGACGGCCTCAGGGAGGCCCAAGAGGGCTTCGTTCGAAATCATGTTCCCGGAAGCCTCTCTGGGAACATGACTTCCGGGCTCCCAGGACGCCCAAGAGGCCCACAAGACAGCCTCAGCGAGGCCCCAGAGGGCCCGAGATGGCTTCAAGATGGCCGAAGAAGGCCCCAAGAGGGCCTTCAAGAGGCAAGAATCGGCCCATTCCCATCGTAAAACGTACATTTTTAGCATACTCGCTTGCTTCGTCTTCACAGTGCCCCAGACGCCCCCGCGGAGCCCCAACACAGCCCAAGAGAGACCCAAGAGGGCCCCAGACGGCCCAAAAAGATCGTCCCATGGGGCTCACGGAACCCCCCAAGACGGCCCAAGGGGCCCCGAAGCCTTCCCAGGAGGCCCCCAAGACGGCCTCAGGGAGGCCCAAGAGGGCTTCGTTCGAAATCATGTTCCCGGAAGCCTCTGCGGGAACATGATTTCCGGGTTCCGAGGACGCCCAATAGGCCCACAAGACAGCCTCAGCGAGGCCCAAGGAGGGCCCGAGATGGCTTGAAGATGGCCGAAGAGGGCCCCGAGAGGGCCTTCAAGAGGCAAGAATCGACCCATTCCCATCGTAAAACGTACATTTTCAGCATACTCGCTTGCTTCGTCTTCAGAGTGCCCCAGACGCCCCCGAGGAGCCCCAAGACAGCCCAAGAGAGACCCAAGAGGGCCCAAGACGGTCCAAAAGGGTCGTCCTGTGGGGCTGACGGACACCCCCCAAGACGGCCCAAGGGGCCCCGAAGCCTTCCCAGGAGGCCCCCAAGACGGCATCAGGGAGGCCCAAGAGAGCCTCGTTCGAAATCATGTTCCAGGAAGCCTCTCCGGGAACATGATTTCCGGGTTCCCAGGACGCCCAAAGACAGCCCCCAGATGCCCCGGACACGCCGAAGATGGCCTCAGGACGGCCGACGACGCCGCCAAAACGCCCCAAGAGCGTCTCCAGAGGCCCCTCCAAAGGGCCCCAGAAGCCGAACATCATCCATTTTCCATTGGTTTTTGAAGCATTCTTGCGCTCTCCCATGTTCCGCCTCCACGGTCCCGGACCGCGTTAGAGGCCCTTCAGATCGCTCCAAGACGGCCGAAGAGGCTTCTAAGAAAGCCCAGAGACGGCCCAGGAGGCTCCCCAGATAAGTCAAGAGGGCCTCGAGAGCGCCCCGAGAGAGCCCCAAGAGCGACCCAAGAGGGCCCGAAGAGCGCGACATTTCGAGGTCTCCGGCCCGAGGGGCTCCGAGGACGCCCCTGGAGGCCAGCTCCCAAGAAGCCCCGTGAGGCTCCCAAGAGACCCCCCCGAAGCCCCAATAGGCCCCCAAGGGACGCCCAGGGAAGCCCCCTGCGGGCCCCCAAGACACTTCGGTAAATCGTATTTCCCAGATAGCTTTCCAGGAACATGATTCCTTGGGCTTCCGCCCACCGCCCCAACCATGTTTCCAATAGGCTTGCCGACAAGGTCAAAAGGCGCCCTTCGGTAAGCCCCCAGAGGCCCCCCTCTTAGAGAGCCGAACAAATCATGCTCCCGGAAAGCTTCCCGGGAACATGATTCTCTATCTCGGAGTAGGCCCGGGGGGGCGGGGGCGGGCCGCTGCCTGTTCCCCCCATCGGTGCCCACCAGGGGTTGCGGGGGGGGGGGGGGGTCCAGATCTCCCGAGGCGGTCCGAGCCCGCCCCGAATCAGGCCACGACAGGCTAAGGGGGTCCCGAGAGGACCCAAGACGGTCCCACGAGGCCCGAAGACGCCCAAGATGCCCTCAAGACAGCCGACGAGGACTCCAACACGCTCCAGGACGGACTCATGAGGCTCCCCAAGAGGGCCCTGGAAGGCAAGACTCACTCGTTTTCCGAGTGTTTTGGATTTTGGCGTTCTCGCTTTTCCCGTCTGCCAGCGCTCCCTCACGGCCTCGGAGGCCTTTCAGATCGCTCCAAGAAGGCCCACGAGGCCCCGACGAGGGCCCCAAGACGGCCCAGGATGCTCCCCAGACAACCCAAGTCTGCCCCAAGAGCGCGCCAATAGAAGGCCCAGAGGGGTCCCGAGGCGGCCCGGGCCCGCCCCGAAGCAGGCCACGACAGGCTAATGGAGGTCCCGAGAGGGCTCTAGACGGTCCCAAAAGGCCCCGAAGACTCCCAAGCTGCCCTCAAGACGGCCGACGAGGACTCCAACACGCTCCAGGACGGACTCAAGAGGCTCCCCAAGAG